CCCCACCGCCTGGACATCTGGACTCAGCAATGAGGTTTGTCTCCTGGGACCCAGACCTCCCACCCCAGAGACTGCTACTTGTAAAAGCCATCACCGTGGCTCCGCTTTTGAAAGTGAACATTCTCATTTTGCAGCTTTGAAGAAAGACTCACAGAAAGATTGTCTTCAGTGAAGAATAATGAAAATGACCCGAGGTGAGGGCAGGGGCAGAGCAGGCGGAAAGATGGTGCTTATCTTGTGTCTGCACACAGAGAAGACAGGCTGTTTGATTGACAAAAGCACAGATAGATTTCCATAAGACAGAGGCCAGAAAAATCTTTGACATTTCCAGTATTGATTTTCCTTTTTCCTCCGTCTGTTTTGAATTGCACCCGGGAGGAAAATTGGGGTTTCTGACAGGAACTCTATATCCTAGAGACAGCGCTGCGGGATAATTGGTTCCTTTTATCTTTGGAAATGGTTGACAGGAAATGCTCTGCATTTTTCTCTTACCTGATTAGGTGCCTTGGTGGTCCGGGGCCTGGGGATGGGAGAGGTGGCAGATCATACTTTCTGTGCTTCTGCATCTGCTGGTTGTGTTGTGTCTATCGAAAGCTTTTCCCCAAGCCCAGAAAGTTAAATTATTTTTGGTGGAGCTAGAGTTTCGCTTGATACAGAGACTCAGTTTGTAGTCAGTGGCTTTGAATAAGATAGTACCTCAGAAAAGGAGAAATTTGGCCACCATACTTGTCAGTGGGGCACGGATGATGTAAATGTTCGATGTAAAGGTTTCCATCTACTGCTCGTATCTGTGGCAGTCACAAGAGGCCACTTTCCCCTTAGCTCATCATTATCAGAGAAGATTCATTAAGGGCATGTGGCATGTGGCAGGGAGCTGAAGGAGAGACCCACGGAAGCATCCTGGTCACCATGGAGTTTGAAATTGAAATGCAGGGAGGTAGATGCATCCGTATAGGGAACACACGGCATCATGTTAACTGAAACCCTGAGTGGATGGTAAAGGCTTAAAAACAGGCCCAGTATAATCTTTACTATTCTTTAAGATTATCAGTCTTTATTATTAATAATAATCTTATTATTTAAGATTAATAATAATCTTAAAGATTATCTTACTAATCTTTAGGATTATTAAATAATAATAATCTTCAATCCACCTGGGAAGGCTTCTAAAACAAACGGGATTCCCAAAAGGGGAAAAGAGATAATTAGGTGGGCAGAAAGTAGTAAGGCACAATTCCCGTATACTCTGCTTTGAAGGTAAAATTGGGGCCAGTATACAGAGGGGCTTTGAACAAGAGGAGCTGGGCTCCAGTGAGAGGAAAAGCAAGAGGGGAGAGGATGATGTCTTTAGGTGAGAAGGTCGTTAGAAGTTGCATCTTGGATTTGGCCAGTACTTGGAAGAGAGGCCTTGGGGAGTCTGTGAACATTGGGGTGGCTTAAAGCTCCCCTTGGCTGTTGAGAGGGGAGAGGAAAGGTGCTAGTCTGGGGGCTGCCAGGAGAAACCCTGGATGCTTCAGGCTGCCCTCCTCGGCAATTACTTGAATTTTATGCAATTATTTGAATATTTTTTATTGGACTTTCCTGCAATTTTATGAAGAAAAATGGAAAAATGAGTCTTGAAATTGATAACCACATATCTTAATATAATTGAGAGAAGGATGGCAATCAATGGGTGTGTGGAAATGGCAACCCTTCGGCCTCATTGGACTGAGGTTATTACACATTCAGTTGTTAAGGAGGGAACATGTAGGTACCAAATGCTGCAAATATATCACCTGA